ATTTGACGTAGTATTTTAAGCCGATACTTACAGTGGAGTATTTTTTATTATTAGTGTTTAATAGTGGATTTAATTTTTTTATTTTCCCAAGTATATCTTCTTTCGTGTTCATCTATCGTTAGAAATGAAAAGGATTAGTTTGATGTTACATAAAACAGAAGAAACTATTTCACATTTTGACATGATCTATTTTATAAATATTGTATAAATAAATATTCCTTAGTTTATATCATGGAAATATATTAACTGTATAAAATGGAACTGTATACTATTTAAAATTGTATTATGTAAATTAAGACATTATATAATGACATCCCTAAGTTAGAACTGTAATAATTCGCCATTTATATTGATACTCATCAATTACCTAGAAATGCAGATTACTATAACAAATTATTAATTTAATTATTACGAAAAATGAACAATGGAAGAATAAACTTTTTCAATTTTATAAAAAAATTAACGTAATTAAATTAAAGAAAAATCAAATAAAAAAATAACACAAGAAATAACGATCATTAATAATTAATAACCATTATAATCTCTTCTAAATTAAAAATTTGTAAAACTTAGTACGAACTTGTTAAATTCATAATTTAGAAATGTTAATATATTTATTTTATTATTAACAATAATCAGTTTATCAAAACCAATATAATATACATTTTATATTCATCAATATTCATGATTATTAATTTTCTCAATTCCACAACCTTATTAACACAGTAATATTTTTATTATTTCAATTTAATTTTAGTCACCTTTACATCAACACAATAATCAACTATATTTCATGACTATCTACTCATCTCTTCCAAAATACATTGACAAAGTCATCCCTGCACTAAATGATACAATATCATACACCAGATCGATTATAAAAGAATAGTTACATACTAGAATAATTACATACATAATAATTCCATATTTCACAACTATCAATAACTTCAAATAACACTTCCACTTACTTTCAACCCATTTCATTAAACTATTTGAAATATCTAAATCTAAATCTTTAAAATTTAAATCTTCAAATGTGCAATACTCATTTAAATCATTCCCAACCTATAAAACCACCTTAGTACCAAAGCAACAGACAGGGAAAAAGTGAACAAGAAAAAAAAAAGCATCGAATGAATCGAATAGTCTTTATTACAATTGACGAGCGATTCCTGGAAGTCGTAACGGAAGCACGTCGTTGACAGGAAAGTAAAAGCGATGGCAGAAAAATGGCGGAGGGACGCGCGGTCACAAAGGAGGAGGACTCTCGTTTTTCATCCGCGGGCGAATCTATCCGCGTATATCCATCGGTGAAGGTGCATACGTGAGCGAAATTGTGAACGGTCTAATAATAACCGGGCTCTTACTTATATGGACGCTTGATTTTAATTCAAGCAAAACCGTCGGCCAGACCTCGTCCTTTTGGTGCGCGGGGTCAGTGATCATCATAATCGAAAAACGCGAGGAGCATCCGAAAGCGGTCAAAATCGTCCGCGTATCGCACGGAAAATATCGTTCCACGCGAATTCCTTGATCTTGAGTTATTTTCGTCGGTTATGGTAAAAAGGTTGAGTTTCGCGACGCCACCGGGACAGTACGGGCCGGAATAAATTGGAATAATGGCCGCGTCTGTAAGTGTGCGTGGCTCGAACGGGTAGAGGAAAGAGAATTTTTCTTCTTTCCCAAAATTTTTTGCTAAAATTCGGTCATTAATGAGTAATTAATAGAAAAGATTCTTTCTTTAAAGAAAGAAAGAATAAAATTTTTCCTTGTTTTCGAAATTTTTTAGCTAAATTCGGTCGTTAATGAGTAATTTTGTTGCGGATTATTTAGAATCTAGAATGTTTTGTTTGGCATTATTGTGTGTAGTGAAAGAAATTGTTACTAATGTTTATAACACTAATTTGAGATTAATATTAATTTAGATGGAAATATAATTATAGGCACTATTAATTAAAAGCTTGAAATACGTATTGCTTAGAATCAAAAAATGTAGAGTATAGTCAATTTAGAATTCTGTTACCTTGGAATATTTCTCCATTGAAACACTATTGAAGCAAGGACAATTGTTATGGACATTTATAAAATGAATTTGATGATAGATTTAGCAGGTTTTCTATAAATGCAAATCAAAATGTTATAAATTTTTGGCTCCTACTTTATACACTTGGGATAAAATAGTGACATGTATTTAAAATTGATAACAACTTCGATATGAAAATTAAGTTGATGTAAGTACTTACTTATATTACGCGTTTACTAAGCGAAAGTCAATAAAGCAGTATAGAATTTATTATATCTTGTATTTTGGAAACTTCATTTATAGTTTTTTAAGGCAGATTAATTTTAAATATTTAATGTGCATATTTTATACCGTCGTTTAAATGCATTTATTATAACAAAGAAAAAAAAAATGATTTGATTTTTCTAATAAACTGTTAATATAATTCTGTTACAGATGAATTATTTGATTAAATTAATTAAAATTCCTACTAGGTTTATTACGTTATTTGTCAATTTATAGAATTATTTAATTCGGAGCTTAATATTATTAGTTGCAGTAAAATTTCTAAACTGAAATTTAATTAAGTTCTAATTTCATAGCTTTTAATTAAGCAGAGTGAATTTGGTACATAGAATTATTTCATGTCAGCTATTAAGGCATTACATTTAGAATAAATGCTTTTTGCATTTTATATTGATTATTACAATTATTTAGAATTAACATTCAAACCGTTTAATTACTATAAAACAATTTAACAATTTTGTTATATTATATATTCAATTTTATATACACTGTTACTTTTAATTTGATTATTAAATGAATAAATTAACTTAAATTATGGCTTACTTAATATTCATATATTCATAATTCATTAAGGTGTCGAATAATAAATTTACTTCAAAGCTCCCTAAAACCGAAATATTATTTGATCTTTTCTGAAATTTTTATTATTAACAATGACGTATTTTTTAAAATAAGTTTTATTTCTTTTACTATATACTATACTGTTGAACTATCAAACAGTTTGTTATTTGGCTGAAGCAAAAAATTGTAACTGAATCCAATACGATGCTAACTTTCTCAAGCTTTTATCTTTTATAACTTTTACGATTTTGTTTTTTGAAACCATTTTTTTTATGAACATGTCGTTCTTTGTTTCAACGTATCTTCGCTCTGTATCCCTCTGTTTCTTTCTGTACACGGTGCATCAACTATTTTCGGAAGATTAAGTTGAAACATTTGAAATGTAAAACATTTCGAAAATAAATCAAATGCACCGAGCTCATATCTGACAAGCATTTCATTTTAATTCCATGCTGAATCATTATACAGATGTAAAGTGGTGAAATATTACAAGCTTTGTGTCATAAATCTTGCCTGGTCCATCCAGCAGGAAACTCTTACGTGTCTCTAAATGAAAAATATTTTATAGACAGCAATATTTTGTTTATCGTATATTTATATTTACAGTAACCACAGGCAAGAGTTACTCGATATTCTGTACTAAGTCCGATCAACACTCGTGCTAGCCTCTGAAAAACTGATTCTTCCTTTTTAAAGTTTCATCAGAATGCTGGATAGGTATACAGTACTCGTTGAATTGAAGTTAAATTCATAAGTAACCTCGTGAGCAAGTGAATCGTTCTGTGAATGTATCATCTGAAAATCTTTTCGTCGTGGAAATACGAGTAAAGTATTGTGGAAGATCGAATGACAAAGTTGGATTAAATAAGAAATTGGGAAAGATATTTTGTCTATAATTGAATGACTTTTAGTTATTGTTCAAAATATAATAATAAAAATATAATAAGCCAAATAATGATATTATTTAAATTTACATCTGTTTAAAGTACAATACCTTAACAATAGCATTCCGTGCTTATCTATCTGTTACACTAAATTGAACATGATATCGCGATGATGTTGGAAAAATAAGGATAGCTTAAATTCAGAGGGCCATTTGGAGCTGTATGCTAGAATTTCTTCCTTTTCTTCATCAATCATTGATAGTGTAAAGTCATTAATAACGTTAATGTAACATTTAGAGCACGATATAAATGTATAGTAACCATATATGCCCTTTATACTGAAATAATGAAAATACCTTATGAAAATAAAAAAATAAAATTTTGCTATATGAAATGATCAATAAGATAGCTACAATGCAATAAACAATATATACAATGTAATTTATAAGTAATATATATTTTTTTAAAAAAAGAAATTGTATACTGTTATAAATTATGATTTTTTTGTAAACATTTTAACAAGTTCGTTGACTTGAACTGACCTTGAAATGTTCTTGAGTATAAAATATGCAGTCTGGCATTTCCTCCATAAATATGAAAATTATTATTCGTATTCACTTATTATGCGTTTATATAAATTTTCTTCAATTCTAATTAATTCATTCTATATAATCGTATATGAACGTTATGTATACCCTTCCTTTTCATTAATGTTGAAAAAAAGGTATGAGATTTAATATATATCGTTACTATGTATTTAATTAATTTCAATATTAGGTACTTGCTATTAAATAATATTAAGTACTAATAATAAACGATAGTATTAAATATAAAGTACTTATTATATTAAACAATAATAATAGTAATATATACATATTTAAGTAATATAGTACTAATCTTAATTGCCTATTTATTTAAATCAGTTAGTACTATCTATTAGACATAAGCACATACAATATCATATCCTTCGTGAATGTCATTCATAACTTAATAGTTTATGCAGTACTCATTAAGAAATACAAAATTCTAAAACATTTTAAACTTGTTCCTTTCACATTTAACTTTTTGCATCGAATACAACTGCTTTCTAAACCTTAATTAAGGTTAATAGAACTAATTTTTAATTATTTCTAATTATAATAATGTTTGTACTAAGTAAGAAAATTCTTTCATCATTATTATTATTTAGAAATTATTACCATAAAATTCTTTTCATACCTTTATTGCCTCCTTTTTCTTGCTTACAGTAGGAAACGAGTAATTACGAAAATTAGCAAAGATGTACGGCCTAATTCTGGAAAACATGTCCGAGTACATACGACAGGTGTACGGGGAAGATAGATGGGAAGAGATCCGACGACAAGCGTCCGTAGACCAACCTAGTTTCAGTGTTCATCAGGTTTACCCTGAGAACCTTATACCGAGATTAGCGAAGAAAGCTATTCAGGTGGGTGTTACATAAGTCATATATAAGTCATTGTGAACTTATGCATACCTTGCGTATGTTTTGAAAATGTTAAAATTTAATTTTCCTATTTTTAATTTAATTATCGAATGTTTTATCATATTTAACATCTTTTTTGGATTTATTTATGTTTTATATATACTGGTGAAAATAATCAGATGAGTGGATTCGAAGAATAAAATAAATAGCTGTGTTCAACGTTGGGATTTAAATGCCATTTAGTTTATGTGTTAGAAAATTTAAGTGAAGTGTTTGAAATATTTCAAAGAATAAAATAATAAATGTAAATTAGCGAGGCTATAATAAAATTAGGTATGATCATATGTATATAATTATATAATTATTACAATGATAATGATAGCCTGTATAATTATGAAAATAGTAATGGTAAAGGAAGAAGAAATACTGATGCAAAAGATTAAATGCAAAAAGATTTTGAGGCTTAAGAAAAACATTTTTTGATAAATTTAATAAACAGAAAAATTTCACCGAATAATTATAAAATTATAATCCTTCTGTACACGAAACATATTTAATTATATATATGTCCTTTATTTTGGAATATAAATATTTATATAAAATATTTATTAATGATACAGCATATGATAAATAGCTTAAATGATATAAAAATTCTTTAAAAAATATTAATTAATTTCTTCTCACATTTAAGATAAATTTCAAATTAAAAAAGCTATCTCAATACACCCAGGAATAAATTTTTAATTACATAAATCGCTTTGATCAACATTTAATCTATAAGCATCAAAAAATTATGGATATTGTTTAATTAGAAAAATTTATGCTCTATTTTGTTTTTTTCTAACTTTGTCTATAAATGTTTAATTCAATCGAATACATTTCTCACCCACACCACAGGTACTTGGCATAACGGAAAAAGAATTTTTCGATCAGATGGGTGTACACTTCGTAGGATTCGTTGGCCAGTACGGTTATGATCGTGTGCTTTCAGTACTTGGACGTCACGTAAGAGATTTCCTTAATGGATTGGACAATTTACACGAATATCTGAAATTCTCCTACCCTAGGATGAGAGCTCCTTCGTTTATTTGCGAAAACGAGACGCGACAAGGTAAAGAATTTTTAAACGAATTTTCAACGTTTCCTTCCTGCGTTCACCCCTTGGCGTATGAAAGTAGTACGTGTATGTATTTAGATATACGATTGTATTAAAATACCTTGACTTTTTAATGGTTAACGTAAAAACAAAGTGCATATAACGTGTATTATTGCTTTTGTTTCTTGTTGCATTTATGTAACCAGATTTTAAAATTGTGAATTAATTAAGCAAAGAATGGTAGGGTATAATGGAAAGAATATTTTTATTATGTTAAATTTATGCACATGAAATTTTATCTCTTAAGATAAAATCTTATGTATATATAGATTTTTTAATATTATTATTCTTTTAACAAATTAATACTGTTTCTTTGATTTATATAAATTATTGATTCTGAAATGAATTTAATTCGTTATCATCGTTATTTAATATAAATGACGAAAAATTCCTGAAAATCACCGTAGCTGAATACTTGAATGGAACCTTCAGATTGATATAGGCCTTTACATAATAGAAGTTTTATATAAATTAAGAAGTAAATACTTCTTCTACATTGTATAATCTATAATTTCGTACGTGAAACTTTGTGAAATACCAGTCAAAATTAATTGCAGTAAATTTCCAGTCAAAACCAGTAATTTTTTTAGTCAATTTTTAACCAAAGCTGCAACAACTTTTAGTCTACTAAAACTTTTAGTTTTTAATTAGAACTAGTAAAATAACTCAAAACTACGAAAAAGATAATTCAAGACTGTTAGTCAAAGAGGGTTTCTATCATCATCTTCTGCGACCCTAGTTACACCTTACTGCCCCTTGTGCTTGATTGTCCTATAATTATGAAACGCTGTATCTGAAGGACAGGCTGCATAAAATGTTATCAACTAAGAACAGAATTCGTCTAAATTTACTTTTATTCCTGTATTTCAGGCCTAACCCTCCATTACAGGAGCAAACGACGCGGATTCGTTTATTACACGATGGGCCAGATAAGAGAGGTGGCTCGTCATTTTTATCACAAGGAATTACAGATCGAGCTGGTGCGCGAGGAGGTCCTTTTCGATACCGTGCACGTCACTTTTCAGCTCACCTTTGATAACAGGGCTTTTACGCAAGCCTCACTGGCGATGACACGAGAGGAGAAGCATTTGCCTATAGGAGCCTCTGTCTTGTTCGAGATATTCCCTTTTTGTATCGTTTTTGGGTATGTTCAGAGCATGCCTGTCTTCAAATATTAAATATATGATAGCGTTTAGATGTTGCGAGGAAAATTAACATTTGCCATAGAGTATAACAGGAATAAATAAGTATTATAGAAAAAGAATTATATTCCCTAAAAATTACATTTTCTTTTAATTGTATTCTCATTCAACTTATTACCAATTTTTACTTCTTCTAAACAAATTAATTAATTTTTTTCATCGCATAACTTCTGAATCACTAGTATGTGTAATACGCAATTGCACTTTTGTTTTCAGATCAGACATGATTGTAAAAAGCATCGGAAATTCATTGATGGTTATATTACCTGACCTAATTGGAAAAAAGATAACTCATTTTTTCGACCTCGTTAGGCCACTTATTGCATTCAAGTTCCACTCGGTAAGCATATACAAAAATATTCATAATAAAGATAACAAATGTTCTAAATATAATTAAAGAAGAAAATTACCCATATATATATACATTTAAAAATATTTTTATATATCAATTCCTCTTTATAGATCGATTTATTTTAAGTCCTTATTGTCTTTGTTACAGATTTTGAACAGAACGAATAATATTTTCGAGCTGGTAACCGTGGAACCAATTCTTACAGAACGACCATCAGATCGGCATAGAAATGAAATTTTATTGAGTGACGAGCTTGACTCGGTAGATGACAGAACCTTGAGATTAAAAGGTATCTTTTTCACTATGCAATTTCTCCTTTCATTTTTACACTTATAAAGAACGATTGCTTTGCGAAACAATATTATTTTATTTCGTTTCAAAAATCAATATTATTTTGTCCGCTTATATATCTCGATTTTTCGTACTGTGTTTTAGGCTTTTAGAAATATTCCACTTACAACGGGGCGAAAAATTTCTAATTACGTTGAGGCTCTTTATTTTTTACTTTATTAAATCGTGTTCCGGTGTCCTTCAATATTATCACTTCAAACATTGGAAATATTGTTTAAAGATAACGTATATCTATATAATAGGTATGTTTTAGTTTAAAGGAGAAACGTGATTCTAACGAAACACGAAAAGTTCTGTATGAGACCCATGGGTAAAGTAATTGATATTTTAAGTAGCAAAGTAGCATCATAAAATACCATGTTAATCATTTCTGAAAATTGTACATCTTAAAATAAATTTAGCAACTTATTTTTACATTTATTATTACATCTAGGGTGGGATTTGTCATACTGGGGGATATAAATATATTGCATAATTAATTACAATTTGGAACAATTTATAAAAATTTTCTTATTATTGTTATATCGTCATGCGTAGTGAATATTAAAAATATGTTAAAAGTTATAATTATTATGCATACTCGTTGAAATAAATAATATGCCATGCAGAAGATTCTGATTTTGAGTAACCACTTTAATTTAAAAAATTCATACTTTTGCAAAATATTAACTAGCCAAATAAATAGAAATCTAGTCAAGTCTAGATTTTTCTATCTTTTCTATCCTTCTATCTAGTTGGTTGAATTTTCCTTAGATAACGAAGATTTGTCGTCCATAAATAAAATTCAACAATTGCTTTCGACCTTCTCGAGTCGCACAAATTTGTAGCAAATTGCTGATCAGTATTTTTACGACAAGCAGTAAACTTGAAATCTTGTTTACTGATGCGAGATATTGTTCTTCTCGGAATTGTCATCTGTCGTGCAATGATTTCCTACTTTCTGAGGATGATTATGACCATGATCCCAATGCTGTTCTTGCTCTGTTGATATTTTAAATGAATTTTTTTTGTCAACTTCAGAGGGTTTGGAAGATTAAAAATCACCTTCAGTGACTTCTACATTTGTACACTAGAGTAACGAGAACGAGGTTCTCTATAATTTTAGAATTACCAAATCACTCAGAGCACCTGATTTTTAGACCAAACTTATTTCTGGTATAATTTATATTAATATTTTATTAAGATAGAGACGTAACTATATATATACGTGAAAATAAATATATATATTCGTCATAGTAATTTAATTATTATTTATCTACATCTTTTCATTGCACTATTCTTTTCATGCACTATAGTTACACATTATTGGTTGGTACTACTATTGTTATACTCTATCTCATACCAATTGTTACATTTAATGATTTTGAATGAGATTTCGTTTTGAAGGACAGAATTTATGGCATAACTATATACATAAATATATTCTTTTTATAAATCTTGACAAATAAATCGCGTTTGAAATGACAGATTCTTTTGAAACTTATCTGTAGGTAAAACGAATGTTTTGAATAGTATAATATCTTCTGAACCTTAATGTTGATCTTCCGAATCTTTTAAATATCAATCACGTTCCTTAGGTCAGATGATATACATGGATAACTGGAAGATGATGATGTATCTTGGTACCCCCGTTATGCCAGACCTGAATGCTCTAATCGCAACGGGTCTCTACATAAATGATCTATCCATGCATGACTTCAGCAGGTAACAGTGTATTTTCCTATCAATTCGCTCTCTTACGAATGTTCCGTGTATGTGCTTATTAAATTTATACTATACTATTATTCATTTGAAATTTGCACATAAAAACTTAATATCAAAAATTCAATATTAACCCCTTCCCTATTGATAAATTAAAAATTTTATTTCTCACTTCGACTCTGCTTCTCTTGTTATTATTTCTTGTTCGATATAATTTTGAATATTTGAAAATTTATAGGAAAATATATTAATACTTGTTACAGAGATCTGATGCTTGCTGGTACTCAGCAATCAGTGGAACTGAAATTAGCTTTAGATCAGGAGCAATTAAAAAGTAAAAAGCTAGAAGAGTCTATGAGGAAGTTGGACGAAGAAATGAAACGTACGGATGAATTACTATATCAGATGATACCGAAACAGGTGGCAGATCGTTTGAGAAATGGGGAGAGTCCGATAGACACGTGTGAAGTAAGGAACGATCCATTTTGATACGTAAAAAATTTCGAAGTGTAAGAAGTTTCTGATCCGCTTCAAAGACCGATTGCCTAACTATTTTAATACTAGTCTGAAGGAGTCATGATGAAAGAACTAACGGAGAACTTCAACTAATATTATTGCATGCATATATTCTTCGTGAAGTTATGTATCCTACATATATCACTAACATATACTATACTAAAGATATCCAGAACCCATCAATCAACAATCTGATTTCTCGATCTAGTGCAATGTCCCAACTGAACACCTCACCTTCTCTAGCCATCCCAGCTCTAAATATGCAGTACCCATAAATCAACAATTTTTTATTTCTTTTTAATATAGTGGAATGTTCCAAATGAACATCTCATGTTCTATTTCAGCTTTTTTTCATTTTATATTCGTCCTAAAATTAATAAAAGTATTCAACGTTCACACCTATGCATCTTTACCGTTTCTACTCTCTTCTTTCTTCCTTGATTTTATATTTATCTCTCAGTAATATACTTCCAATTTTCAGTATCTATACCTGTCTCAATTTTGTCCATTCTCACCTTCTCTAAGAAGAAACATCAGTCTAACCTCAAACGAGAAATTACTTCAATCACCAGCAGTAGCTAATCATCGCTTTTTCGACACTAAAACTACCAGTCTTAATATGTGCTTAAATATTATAAATAGTATATATGTATATATAGTAATAGTTAAAGTATTATTAAAAGCCAGTATCAATTTTTCTAAAATCTGTATAGTGCATGCTTCCAGTAACTGCAAGATTAAAAGATCAAAAGCCAATAATTTTTACTGGGTTGATAGTTCTAGTTCTAATTTCTCAAATCCTTACAAAATTACTCAAATCTTGTAATAAACCTCCGCAATTTTTACTTTGGCACTTTCTTCAGATCTCGTAAGCTAAACGAATTTTCCTCGCTATAATCCAACTTTGTAACGCACGTAACGCAAAGTTACGCGAACATTCGCGACAATGTCGATCCTGAAGCACATTTTCCGTTCACGATAATAGCCAGTTATCTTTAAAACCATTAAAAGAAGTTGTAGTATCTTTTATCATGTTACGCGTTACTTGATAGCACGTCGGAAAGCGCGTTCTCTGGCCGACATTAATTAACACGTTTCACTATTATGACTATTTCAGATGTTCGACAGCGTTTCAATTTTATTCTCGGACGTAGTGACATTTACAGAGATCTGCAGTAGAATTACACCGATGGAGGTGGTGTCCATGTTAAACGCAATGTACTCCCTTTTCGACACGTTAACGGAAAGGAACCGGGTGTATAAGGTACTCTTAGGTAGTAAGAGTTAGCATTTATATCGTCCTCAAACAATTCCTCTTGCTTTCTATACAGAACAATATATAATAATTTTCTCTGCTTATTAATTTCTTGAAAATCTGTTTTTATGTATTAAAATATGTATTATTATTGTAGTTTTCTCACTTAGGATATTAAATATTTTATTGGTGTCACGTGCTAATCGTTATATTTGTATTATCAGGTTGAAACGATTGGAGACGCCTATATGGTGGTATCTGGTGCACCAGTGAAGGAAGATGATCATGCAGATCGTGTTTGCGATATGGCACTTGATATGGTCGAGGCGATAACGGACCTTAAAGACCGTTCTACAGGTAAGATTGCATGGAAATGGAAATATAGATATGATTATTCATTATCTATGAGTATTCTTAAAATTGAACTTAACATTTTTCTCACTACTGATTGTGAGAATTAATTTTACAAGGTTCAAATAAATTTCATTGAATTTAGTAACGAAATGATATAATAGGTTCGATCGAAGAGATTTTCGAGTTGGAGAATGATTCGAAGAATTATTAGTGTACGATACTTTTTAAAGAACAACTTTGTTTACAGTTACTAATGTTTATTTTGTACTATTATAAACTGCAGAATAGTTTTAGAACTTATAAACATAAGTATCATGACTCAAGTATTCAAGAACTAAAAGTAATATCATAATTCTTTCCAAATTACGGAGTTATGGAATGCCATGATCTTTCTAGGTCTAATCTACACCTAGCTTAATATTTAAAAGTATAATTGAATTTTTCCTGAGATCAAAATGCAATTGTTATCTTGTATTTCAGGTCTTCATCTTCAAATACGAATTGGTATTCACAGTGGGGCTGTTGTGGCTGGTATAGTGGGCTTAAAAATGCCACGATATTGCCTATTTGGTGATTCAGTAAACACAGCATCCCGTATGGAGGCAACCAGTCAAGCTATGCAAATACACATATCACAGTCTACGCGAGAACTATTGTCTCCTTCATACAGAGTTAAAGAACGTGGAGAAATAGAAGTAAAGGGCAAAGGTAGGGATTCAACGTTATTTTATTGGATTAGATATATGAGACACTGCATAGGAAAACACTGTCATAGTTTCTAATTTTTATACTATTTTATATTATAGTATAATTTTTATACTATTATACTATTAAAGCATAATTTTTACACTACTTAAATATAGTTGGAAAAAGGAAGGCTAAGCTTCTAGGTTCAAAGATGTAAAAGAACATCTAAATCTTCTAGAAATACGTGATAAATTTAAGAATTTTTATGAGAAGTCAGATAAAAGAGAGTTTTGAAATATTATCACATTTTTCTTCTGCTGTCCACAATTAAAGTATTTTGATTTCGACGTGACTCTATTAAATTTTAAAACTCTGACGGAATATTAATGTCACATTATCCTAATAGTAATCGGGTATTCGCTATTTAAATACCGAATTATGCTTCTTATTAATTCTAAATTACACTATTCTTGTCTGGTTTTGAGAAACTGCACGAACTGTTTAAGTTATTATTTTCTACTAATTTTGTAATTACAACCCTAAACTTAAATAGCAGAAAGCTAACTATGTAAAACTCTTGTATGACTATAAAAAAAAAATGAATGAAAATTATATTAATTCTTTGACTTTTCAGTTTCTTTTCCTTTTCTCATAATCACCCATTAATATCTGCATTGTACTAAAATGAAAAAGCTATAAATTATACGTATTCTAGGTACAATGAAAACTTATTGGCTACAAAAGAGGGAGCACAGGTCGTCGTCGACGAAAGGAATTACTATCCAAGAACCACCACAATGGCATATGAGAAATACCGAGAAAAGAGTATCCGCAGGAACGCCGGCTGGCTTCACAGCAGCGACTATGTTTGAGAATCAAAATTGTTTGGACGCATCGTCTAGGAGAGGTTCCAAGATAACCTCTCCGATACCTCCAGACTCATCCTTCCTTCCCGAAGAAAGAAGAATTTACTCCCCCATTACGTTTCAAGATGTTGCTCGCAGATCAGTTGCAAATTCACCAACCAAGAGTGTCGATACGAGAGGTAACTGAATGAATTATCTATTTGTAGGTATAATTATGTATCAGATATAATCGATGGGAATAGACGATGAACAAGAAATTGATAATATTAGTGAAATTTATAAAATGAAAAAATTATTAATTACAATTCTTTTTCAACGTGTAAGTTGTAATATATTCACGGAAGAATAATAAGAGCCTTTTTTAAATAAGATATCAAATAATATATTTAAAAATTATACAGGTTCAGAAAGTTTCATTTGTATAGAAAGCAGATAATTCTTTAACAAACTTGATATATTTGTAAAAATTTGTAGAAAAATCTTTTGTTCCGAGAAAATGATAAGTTTAAGGTAGGATTTTATCACAATATCTGGACGAAGAAGAGTTTGAACCAGAAGAATAACATAGAATATTAAAGACGTGAAAAAAGAAACACTACAGAGCGTGTAAGATTACAATGTGACCCAAAGATATATGATCATTTAGATGGACGTACGTATATATCTTTTAGGAGTGTCTTTATCGAGCAAAATGGCTCGAAAGTACAGACAAAGGCTGGACAAGGATGCATACTCGTGAAAATGTGATCAGTTGCGATCAAGCAGATAAGAACAACTAATTAAGAGATTACACTAAGACTTTAGGCTTCGAACAATCTCAGAGTAAGAATGTTCGAATGGGAATATGATTATGATTTATTGCCACTGCATTATCATCAAATATAGTTATCATCCTTTGATACTCTGTCAACCTAAACCCATATGTAACCTAACATCCCAATAGAAGGTCTCTTATCAGCAGGAACTCAGAGATATTCGGCTCCCTCCTGAGCGACACGGAGGAACACTTCAGACAGCACAGGGACAGTTTATCGCCGCGGGCTGAGAACCGGTCAGCTGGCATACACCCCAAACCCGAAGCGAGCGTGAACGCGAACTCGAGTTCCTCGTCGGAAGAATCTCGCGAGGACAGAGCTACGTCGGTCGAAATGGACGCCTCGAAACGAGAGAAGAACGACCATTGCGAGAAGAGCAAGGAGTATTACTCGACGTTTCACAGCGAGATCAGCAACTCGCAGTCGTTGGTGCATCAGGACCAATGTTGTCCTGGCTTCACTATGCCGAAGAGCGGCAAAACGCGTCATCCTACCAACGGATGTTGCATCGCCTAATAGGGGAATTTCAGAGTCTCCTTAGATCGATTTGCCTTCTAGACGAGTTGATCTCGTTCCTCGACGAACTCATGGTCTTCGTCGCACGTAGATCACTTATTCTTCGTTAGTCGAACACCGATTGGGACGATGTGAACGTTTGAGGAAGCCTGCTTTACTCATAGTCGCTGTTATACTTTGATCGCGGGTCTAGTGTCGTAGTCTTGAGCTGAGATGGCGATAGTTGTTGGGAACTGTCGTTCGAGGTGTTTCCTTTGGCTTCTGATTCTAGGAAGTGTTTGCTTCGAGAAACGCGACCTTATACGTTAAAATATGTTCACGGAGCTATTTAGGGAGTGGCTCTGAAAATGTTTTTTGAAGTACTTCGTGATTTTAAAAAGAATAGGGGAAAAGAAAATGACGGTTCGTGGAGTGTGATTACTTTCTTTGGATGTAGAGGAAATTTAGCAAATGTGCCATCACAAGTTCCTTGATTCACGATTGCAGTTTTCTCTTTTACGTATTTTTTAAAGGCCAATGGTTAGATGAATTTTGAAATTCTTTTGAACTGTGTGGTTTACTGTACTTGGAAATTTACGTACTTCCATTGGTACCTCTTACTACTGATACGTGTTCTTTAGTACAAAAGCAGATTCTAAATATCTATTATATATATATAGTAGATATATATTCGATGTATATACATATATAAAATAAATATAAATATATGTGTATGTCTACTAAATATATATCTACTAAATACTAAATAGATACATAGTACATATATATAACTGGAGCATATTATATATATATACTATATAAATATGTAAAATAGTAGAATAGTATCTACTATTTACACGTGTCATAATACTATTTGCATAAGAATGTAATGAACATTTCTTATGAATGGAATATATAATTTTTATTTTTCTGTGATTTCGAAATCATGTTTAAGAACTAGATAGTGTCATTTATACGATTCGATGCTTTCTTGATATTTAATATGTAAAGTACTTAAATTGCAATATATTTTACAAAATACAATCGATTGCTTGTTGTAAGTTATATATTTCTTTTTTTTTCTTTTTTTTTTAAACGGTATCAAAATTTTCGAATTTATGTATAGAATTTGTGTATAAATACTTAAATTTAAATTTAGAGTTTTATTTTAAGAAAGTATTTATTATAAGTTACGCAGATAAGAAAAATAATCGAAGTAATATTTAGATAATAGTTTAAATAATTATTTTAAATTATTTAATTTTTTTGTTACAAGTAACAAGTCAAGTCTAGTGTCAGTAACGAAGAAGAAAAGGTTTCTATGGCTAAAAAGAGAACAGAAGAATCGTTTTCTGCTCTCATTTTCTGACCAACCTCTTTCTTAGTCGAGATCCATTTTTCTTCATGAACGAGATATAGATAATAGGATTATGCTCGTAAATGTTCACGAATAATATACAAAATTCACGTGTCACGACTTAGTATTCCAAACGACAGTTTCCAGCGACTTACCTAGCACATTAAAAGGGAACAAGCAACAAATGTAGTAGTTTCTACATATGAGATTTCGAACGAAATTAGATATCGACCGTGTGTGTTGCCGATCGAAACTGATGTTCTGCAATTCGCGTGGGTTGCATTCAGAAGTGTCTTAAATAAAATATATAGTATATTCTTGTCACGTAAGTTAATTTGGTACGTGTATCGAGCATCTTGAATTGGATAGAACGAGAATAATTTAGGAATTTCGAGATAACGAAATCATTGAGGTAATTGAATAAAATTCGATTTTAGTCTTTATTTCGCGAGGATAATTCATTGTGTAGATAGCTTTAAATTTTATCCAACGTAGAACGAATATATCACAAATCTGTGAAATGTTTGCGAATGTATGTAACGAAATTTGGATGAAAAGATAATTGTCAGTCAAACAACAGAAGTAGAAATTTAGTTTCTTTCTTCTTAACAATTTATATTTTGGATTTAAATTTTATCCATGAAGAAGATTATTTTATCAATTCGTCTGAATTATAGTTAATAATAAACGCAAATTTGTCATAATGGTATTATATGTCCTTTATTAGTGAAATTGAATTTATCTTCTTCGTGTATGCAACTTGCATCTGAAGTTATTAATTTTTGAATAATAGTATAATTCATAAACTAAATAATTTTTTTATCCATTTGGGACGAAACCAACAGTACTATTCTTTGACGATATTTAAAAGCCATAATTAAATGCATAGAAGATAATTATGACTTACAAAGAATATAAGGATTTTTTGAATCTTTGACTTTTTCTAATGTTATTAGTGTAAATTAATTTTTAATTTTAAAGATGTAATAGAAATAATTTATATTTTTCTTATGTTAGTAAAATGAATTGTGTGAGATTTAAATTATGTGACTTTAATATTAGTAATTTTGAAGGTGATATTTCTAATATTTTTTATAATTTAATTGAATAAAAATTTTATTTTATTTTTTATTTGGAAGTACTTTAAACAAAAATTTGGAAATTGAAATAACTTTTATGATATATCATCATGTAATGCATTAATTTTCGTTGTGTATCGTCCCAATGGAGATACAAATATTAAAAAATACATATTTGACTAGAAATTGAGATATTTTATTGGATGACTATTTAATAATCAAAATAATAATTAAATATATGTCCGCGCTGCTCAAACTGTTTTCTGTAAGATATAACGAGAAGATTTTTTTTCTTGTTTACCACACTCATATTCGCAAAATACGTGAGATTAATTAACATTTTCTTTTGTATCAGTTTTTTGAATTTCGAATTTTTACTCTCTGTCTTAATTTAATAGAAAAACCATGTTGTAAGAAATAATACATGAATAATAAATATGTTAAGTATTTTCAATATTGAATAAGATGAATGTATTCCCCGATACACGCATTTATTCTTAATTTCCACTTAAAACTTTTCTGTTTATTTCGGAACACAATTCTGCACGTTTTTTGAAAAGAAACAAAGTACTTCAAGTTCTATTAATCTTCAACAAATTAGCATTCATACTACAGTAATATTAGTATTTTTATGTTTTTTAGTATTTAATTATGTATTTAATTATCTTTATGTTTTTTAGTATTTAATTAACAGTAATTTATAGTATTTTAAGATTTTATGAATTGGTAATTTTTTGTATTTCAATACTACATTAATAACCATTTTTAGTATTTAGTAATTTTAGTATTCCATTACCGCTGAGTATTAGATAATTTGTATTACTTGGTATTTTAGTATTCTATTACTAGTAATTTTCACTATTTTCACTTTTAATTTTTATTTGACTAATAATCATAATATATTGGTAATTTTATAGTATTACCACGACAGATTACAGTATAGTATTACAAACCGCAAAGAATTATACCAAGTATCCATTTGTTACCAAGCCAGACGACATATCTTAATTATAAACTGAATCAAATTCAAGAGTTGCACTTTTTACAAAGACACACTCTTCTCAAAGAGTCTCATTCACTTTCTACCTTTCAAATCACGTGTTTCTCTACTTGCTACATTCGTGGCTATTCCCTCGATTTCAGATTTCTCGCGTACCTTCGATTTCTTATGCAAAAATTGTAGATCCTCGGAGAAAATTACGTAATTAAATTAGTTCAATGCTATCCCCGATGATAAGTCTGCGGTTTGAATAATTTATGAACCGTGTTATGATTTCTATCTGTTATAACAGTTCGTGTGAATAATTGATAACAATTTTGTGCAATTATTTCTCGGACATTACCTACCAAACGGAATGCCCAATGATGATAATTGCACACTTTGTTTAATGGATCGTCAATGTTCTAGAGATGAGATCCTTAGCTCAGACTTTGAGAAGTGGCCTTCAAAGAGACACTACGAGTCGTCGTGATGGATCATAATCAATACCAGTACTTGAAAATTAACAAATATCTTTTGTTTATAATTGGTACGTGGCCTTATCAAACGGTCCTCCAGAAGAGTTTGGTTGGAATCATCTTTATTTCGATTATTTTTGCTCAAGTGATCCTACAGGTATTGTTGTACACTGACATATTAATGCATTAATACATTTACATAATTGTGCACATTTTTATTTTCATTTTTATTCTGGATACGTATATTCTTTACTTTTGCTTCATGACTTTCCTTCGACTTTCCTTTTCTGCGATGGTAGTTTGCTAATTTGTAGTTGGAGGTGTGACGTTTACAAGATAATAATCATACTTAAATATGTTTGTTGTTATACTGATATCTTTTGCGTGTGTTCTGTATGTTTTATTTGAAAACTGAGAAGTGGTAGTTTGGAACTGTAAGGTATTAAAAATAATCAGAGAACCTCGAATTTGTATATTCCTCTTCTAATATGACATTATTATTTAAATAACGCTAGTAGGCGTTCATATAATTTCTTTAAGAAATTAAATATTTATATGGGAATTGAGTTACTGAATGATTAAAGATATATCAAGTTTATTTTATTTTTAACATGTTACTATTGTACCATGCACCATTTACTATATTACTATTCTATTACCAGTTATATTTTATTGTTTATAAATTAATGGGGTAATTAAAATAGTAACACTGTTATTATACCTTATATACTTCCATTAAAAAGTTGGAAGAAATATTTCTATACTATTAACAATTCTAAACAAATTCGGTGGTTTAATTAATAATGATAAGCAAGAATTGTTTAATTATATAATACCTGTCCACTTAATTATGTAATCCTCATGTAATTACTTCTTATACAACAATAATGAAGTGTCTCGGACAATTAAAGAATATAAATAATAACAGCTGTGTTTATTTCTTACATATAATATTTTAATTAAAGTAAATTATTTGCTGATCGAAATTTATGATAATTAAAAAATATTTGATGTTAAAACATGTACGACAAATGTAAATGTACAAGATATCATAAAAAGAACTAAAATATACGTTGATTATACATTATTGACTCTATGTTATTTACATTTATTGACATTATATGTATACTTCGATTAAATTATACATTACCGTAATCCATAATATATGAATGTATATTTTTATTAATTAATTTAGAATACTTCATTTATGTTTAATTTTACATAATTTATGATATTAAAAATTTTTATGATACCGATGATAAAATAAAATTATTGTTTATCCTGTAATTAAAGCTTTTGCCGAGGTATCAAGTTTATTAAAATTGTGCGACTATTTTAGGGTGGAGGAATGGTGACTGCCATAACTGCTGGGGATATTGAATCGTTCATGGAAGGTTTCGCAGCTTTCACCATTAGTTTGATGTGTCTCGCTAAGTATATCAATTTCTTTTACAATTACAAGCAGGTACGTTTATCACAATTCCTATATGAATATCGGCGATAACATTTATATGCAATTACACAGATGAAGCGTCTGCTGGACATAATGCAAGAAGACTGGAAAATTTATAGAAAACTGAAGAACGAATACGACCTGCTTTGCGAACAATATGCGATAGGAAAGAAACTTACTACCGGCTTCGTAGGTGAGATAATTTTCCAATTTTTAGTAACATTTTCACCACTACTCATTAACACTAGAACTATGGAAGAGGTCAAAATCATCATACTTGTGTCAGACATTTTATTTTTACAGTTTCTAAACACATATTCCAGTTTTTCACAAAATTAATGCCAAAATTAATAATAATAAAGTAAAAAATTCCAAACTAGCATGATAAATAAATTATTAAATAGTCCTAAATAGTAGTGAACCTCGAATTAAAGATTAATTAATACAAATATTAGGCAAAAAGATCGAATGCTTTATAAAAAAGAAGGAAAAAATTCGATTAGCCTAAGAGATCAGTATTTAAGGTATTTTACAAAATATCGAAATTTCATTTTTCAAATACGTAAGTTTTTTTATTTGGCACGCAAGTTTGAAAGGGTAACGAAGTTTAAAGAAGAAAGAGAAAGTCGAATACTGTTCGAAATGTATATGTACCATTGTTTAATTCATGATGAAATTTGCAACAGCCTTTTTATTCGGATTAATAACACCGTTCGCCTCGATGCCATTGCTGCTGAATGCAGCTGACGCTTTAGGATTCTGCAACATCTCCGATGATCGACCACTAGCATTTCGAGTGGAACATTTCGTGGACGTGGACAAATATTACTATCCTTTGTTGATACACTCCTATTTTGGTACACTTGCATACACTGCGATCGTCGTGGCTATCAATTCGATAATAGCTGTGTACGTTCTGCACGAGAGTGGACTTTGCGAGATTTTGAGGTAACCGTGTATCTGATGATATTCGGAACCATACCTATTGATGTTTTCTCTGTATATACTTACATGTTGATGGGTCAATGTAGTTTTTGAAAAATTGGAATAAGACGACTTACAAGGAGAGTGCAAATCCTTCGGATCATCGATTTAGTTGAAACTTTACACATTTATAGATATCGTCATGCAGTTCAAAAATATATATCATTATAGCCGCAACTACACAATAATTTTTAAGATATTAACGATTAAAGATTTATTGTCTACTTAATTACACATTTATTTCCAGCAGTTTTCAAGTGAAGTCGTAGCCTAACGGCGATAATCGGTAATTCCTATGATGATGGAGACCGGGGTTTAATTCCCGTCCATAGTCAAATAGTTTATTTCTATCTATTTTTTATTTTGTATTAATTTTTCGCCTATGAAAACAGTGTAAATAATATTTCTTAATAAAAGAATTAATTTTTTACGCTTTCTTATTCTAATATATAATAAAATATTATAAAATAATAAGAATACTATATAACAAAAGCAGCTTTCTATAGCAATCTTATTTACTACAGGAAGAAAATGAAAATATAAATAATCATTAGATATAGGAAATATAAAACCTATCCCTCATGTAAGTATTAATTATTAAATTAAATATTGTATAAAAATGTTGTCTATAATTCCAATTTTATTGTGCAGTTATAAATGTTCATGAATTAATTACAGAAATTTGGAAATTTATTAATTTTCTACTTTCGAATAAATAACAATTTTACCGCCTGTGATCAGCGCCATCTATGATTTCGGCTCAAATATCAAGAAAGTGATAGGAATATAGAATAGGCGAGGAGGTCGTCTAAACCTGGTCACGTGACAGACAAGGACAGAGTGGGGATAAAAAAGGATAGAAGAGCTCCGGCAGTGAAAAATTAATTAATTACTCAATTTCTGTAATTAATTTATGAACTTTTATAATTTCATTGCAAAGCTGGAACTTCAGGCTCCATTCCTATATAATTTTCGTAAAGAATTTAACTCTAAATTGTTAGTTATTAATTATCGTTTGATGGCGTCCATGATTTCGCAACGGCGACCGTCACGATCTTCTGCGAAAATATTTAATACTAAACGAAACTAGAAGCAAAATGTGATCAAAAGTTATATGAGAAGATTCGCAAGAACATTGTTTTTATAACGAGTGCATAAAGTTTCATAAGTTAATTGCGTAAAGAATAGTAATTAATGAAAAACCAATGGCGTCTTTGACAACAATTCAAATACTGCGTAGAATAATAATTAATAATTATTTAATTAGGGACAAATTTATATTGAAAAACATATTGGAATGTTCTCAAAGGGTCTGCCTTTACGATGCAATGATAAAAGTTCATAAATTAATCGCAGAAATTGAATAATTAATTAATTTTCTAATAAAAATTCAAAAAGGAACAGTCAGCACCACCTATAATTTTTATCTGGAAGTTTGTGCTCCGTTAGTTCCGTTAGTTAAAAATTATAGGTGGCGCTGTCTCTTCCTTTTTGAATTTTTATTAGATAATTAATTATTTATACAATTCCTGCGATTAATTTATGAACCTTTATAATTGCATCGCAAAGGCAGATCCTTTAAGAGCTTTCCAATATAACTTTCGATATAGATTTATCCCTAATTAATTAATTATTAATTATTATTCGACTGAGTGTTTGAATTGTTGTGGAAGACGCCATTGGTTTTTCATTAATTACTATTTTCTGCGTAACGAATTTATGAACTTCATGCATGCATTATATAAACGATATCCTGGGGCATGTTCACATATCACTTTTGTTTACATTTTGATTCAAGTATCGTTTACTATTAAATATTTTCACGGAAGATCGTGACGGTTGTCGTTACGAAATCATAGATGCCATCAAACAATAATTAATAACTAGATAATTAGGAACAAATTATTCGCGAAAAATGATTAAGAATTTTATCTATAGATCCAGCTTCACGATGAAATTATAAAAGTTCATAAATTAATTGCAGAAAATGCGTAATTTGCGATTATTTTTTGCATGATCCATTCCATCCTTTCCTAACAGCTAGTTGTCCTTGTCTATCACGTGACCAGATTTAGACGACCTCATCGCCTATTCTATATTCATATCATTTTTCCGACCGTTTGGTCCAAAATCATAGATGGTGCTGATCGAAGGTGCTTGAATTTGAATCGGTTATTATCGTAATAAATTAATCCGACAGTGGAAAATTAACAAATCCTGAGTTTCACTAATTAATTCATGAATTTTTATAGTTGCATTGCAAAGCTGAAACGATAGGCAACATTCTTTTGCCATTTCAAAAAATAATTTGATGCTAATTAATTTGTTATTCATAATTAATTGAAGGCGTACGTGATTTCGTACCAACAACAATGATCTTTTGAGAAAATATTAAATAATGGACAAAACTAGAAGATGCCCAAGGATATTCGTTTTATAATATGTGCATGGAATTTATGAATTGATTGTATAAAGGATAATAATTATTGCCAAACGATCAATGCCTTCGGTATCAGTGCAATAATTATTACAAAATAATTAGTTAAAAAAGGAACTAATTTATTCAGAATTACCAAAGGGGTCAAATGCATAAAAGAAATAAATATATATAATTACCTTCCTATCTCAATGAAATCAATAATAACTTTTGATAGAACAACTATAAATTTGCAATATCTTATGCATGAGACCACTTTAGTAATTCCAGTATTGAAATGAACAAAACTCTTAGTACAAAGATTATGCTGTATCATTTATTCAATTATATTGTCAATGCAAATCTTAATCTGTAATATTCATTGCGTAATTCTTGCAGAGTTTACTTTCCTTGAAACGAATCTGCAAACAAAATTGCTCTATTACTCTCAGATGTCGAAGAATATTAGTTTCTCAAAAAACGTGTAATTCATATGTGAGATCCTTCTCCTACTCGCTTTCTATATGCCGTTGTATTCATTGCTGTTGCAGAACTTTTATTCTGTAGATAAGTTCCGAAACATGTAGCCTCCATCCACAATTTCTTTTACATTTCAGTCGTACAGGAATGCTCGTGTTTTATTCAGTAACGTTCGATTCAGCCTTTCCATTCAGTTGAGGTGTATACAGTGTCGTATAATCCTGTATAATTACTTTCTGTCTGCACCAATTCTTGAATTCTCCGCTGGTAAACTCCTTTTTCCGTTATTGCATTTGAATCTGTATGTTATTCCACTTTGCTTCTGCTGCTGCAACACAATTAAACAATCTCTATAATGCTTCAGTATATGATACCATAACATATATCATCACAAAATTAGTAAAATCTAAGACTGTCATCGCATACCTATTTCTGTTCTATGTCTCTGGTTCTATAGGCCCACACATATATCGGAATGTTCAATTTCTAGCTGTCCTTTTGCCCTTGTTTTTGGCTGTCACAATTGTGTCCTCAATTGCTTTGCATAGAAAAAGTATCCTGCATTCTTCAATTCTTGCCTTTCGTATTCTTTTCGTTACTTTTATTTCAAATGTTTTCTTGGACAAATCTTTCATGTTTTGTATACTTAGATGGCCCAATTTTCTGTATCACTACCAGCTTCTTGTTCCTCTCTACTAGTAATACTCTAGTCTGTATTTTTCGTCTTGATTCATCTCCACCATAACATCCATTAATACACGTCTTCCCGATCAATATTTTTTCTTACTTCTTATAAACTTTTACATTATGTTTTAAGAACATTATCTTACCACCCTTTTGAGTTATCAGATGTATTG